ATCAAAATATAGACAAGAATGTTAATAGCTAAATATCCAACAAAATTATAGTGAATGCATGAGCAGTTATTTGATAAGTAGCTACCACTAACATCAAGTACACAATACTAAAGCTATGAATTCTGGGGGATAAACATTTACTAATTAGTTAAATACATCTAAGCTGTGTCATTCATCAGACAGCTAAATCTGTTTTAGGTCATGTATTTTGGTCGATAGCTAGATACGAAAGTTGTAGCCAAGTAATAGCTGATCCTAACAATGGGCTCTGTCATTTACATTTTGTTCGATAAAAATATAATTTCTTATCCTCAACTGTAAAACCATTGAAAAATGAAAGGGATTGGACAGGTGTTACATGTTGATGATCACCGAACAATAATTGTGACCGATCCTATAACATCTAGTTATTAAGGTTAGCACAACACATCTACGTAATTAAAATAAATTGAAAATCTTCACATTAACTTTAATTAATTTGGGATACGACATGATCTACACATAGTATCAGTAATGGATTACTGTTTTATTCTCTACTAAGTTGTCTTCACTGGCTACGGCTTACTACTATTGGATTAGCCTTCTGCTTTTGGTGTGTTTATGAGGTGTGGCTAATTGAATTGATATATGTTTTTGTTTGATCCTGTTTACTTTCCGACTGGCTGAACTCAGTACTGCAGGCAGACAAAGTCCAGAAGTAGCTAATAATCAAGGATTTCCATATTATTCTGGTAATTATAGAGTATTTACGTTGATTCTGGCCGTAATCAATACTCCATTGGTCATTTATTAATAGTAGTGGTCGCTCAACCCGCCCACAATCCCTGATATCTAAGGGAAAGGACGCATTATTGCAAAAAGCAAACGAATAAATACATCCAGTACTTTTTAATTTCCTGACAGAATTCACCAGTCATTAAGACTGCTAAGATTAACAACTGATAATATAATGATTTTGTCTGTTTATCCTTAAACATCTAGTCCATTCGAATATAATTCGACATAACAGATTTTAACAATGTGAAGCATATCTAAAACAGATCGATCATTATACGTTCCAAATCAAGTCGTTTATTCTGTTCTTAAAGTATGTCCAATCACTGATTTGTTAGTAGCCCTACCACAGTTAAACAATGCTTTTAAAGAACTTATGCATCTAAAACTTTAGTATTTTCATATTATCTTTTGAAGCAGAAACTTATGCACGTAGAATCTAACCTGATGTAAAATTCTAAGTCTTCGACAGAGAAGCTGACACCGCATCTACACTGGGCTGTGTGATTTTTTGAACATGAGTGACCTATATAGGCAAGTGACTTGGAGAGTTGGTAGGTTCAACCTGATCGCTCTCTACTGTCTAATCAATCATGAGGCTGGGGAAAATTATTGACCATCTTTTTGTATTCAGCAAGTAAACATGTACCACACATTTTCAGGTCTTCCTTTAGGATTTTCTCCAGCATCCCCATCAAACAGTTTGTGTTCCGCGAGTTCTTGGAAAAGCCTCTTAATAAAAGACTAAATCGTATCAAGCGAAAGAAATATCACTTTTGAACCACAAACATGGATTCAAAGGAATACAGAATTGATGAAGGTTGCTAGACGTAGTTAACCTAAGTAGTAGCTTATCATAGACCCTGTCCGAGGAAATCACTCATCCTGTTTTTTTTCCTTCATTTTATTTTATTTTGCCACAGATATCCTACAAGAAGTGATTTTATTAGTAAGATTTCCCAAATATTTTATCTAGAAACTCTTTTATAGGTTTGAAGTACTCAAGTGATACATTTACGTTCTAAAGAGGCGCTGACATAACGGTTTTTGGGGAATGAGTGATGATAATTAATTAGATGCAGTTTCCTCCCTTCAAATGCAAAATATTGTTTCAACCCTAACAGATTGGTGGATAAGCGAATTCAAGCACACACATAAAAATCTAGATTAAGTTTAACAAGAAACATCATTTATCGTTCGTGTAAGACGTCCATTTACCTTTCAAAGGGGGATCATGCTGAACAGCAGTCCACTTCGCATTACCTTACAGTTGCAGAGGTATAAGGCATGTATAGCTTATTTATATTGAACTGCAACTGCCTTCAATGAGCCTCTGATACACTGTGAAATGATGGATTTAGATGTGGAGTACTAAGACAGGGTGATAATTTAGTTAGTATTCGTAAAATCGTATGACATTTTCAGTTGAGACATCTGCTATCCTTACAGATACATCATGTACGCGTTATCCTGGGTAACATGGCTTTACATCTAAAGGTTTAATACAACTTAACAAAGATATGGGATTAATTCATTCTATTAATTCAATTAGCATAGAGTTGAAGTTTTGATTGTAGGTGGTTTGAAATAGAACAGTAACCATTAGCATAAGTAGCTCAAAAATGATAATGTCGGAACAGACACATTCATTTTCCTAAACCTTGACCGTATTATTATACCCGCAATTAACACCTACTAACCACAGTTAAGTGCGACGACTACGTTACTCCTTTTCAGTGTTCATAGGGAAAACATTGTTATTTTCAGCATCTTATCTTTTTGCGAATTTAGTCTCATTATGCTGAGGTGAAATGTGGTAATGTAAACTTATGTATACATCTGCCATTTTCTACGTCGATTATATCTATTTGTTTAACGCTTTTCAATAAAAGATGCTATCACAAGACCTCTCGATCAACGCAATCGGATATAGTCTTAGTCCGTTGAGGTTTATTATGTCTCGAGACGACGATTGGTCGATACATTTCGAGCCAAACCTGAAATGTATCTGATCTACCCAAGGTTTCCTATCCCTATGTTCTATTTAAATGTCTAATGGGCAAAGATGCTTAAAAACCATACTAGTTAAGCTGACTCTTCTGTGATTATCATAAAGTGATAGGTTTTTTTTCTCATAAACTTAAGTTGCCAGCGATTGAAAGCATGGAATTATGATCATCTAACCAGCACGCCCAAGTTGTAGTCCAAAGACGTAATCTAAAAGGACATCTGAAGTGAAATCGAAGAAGACTGTTATCCTAAAAACTTCAAGCGCCTTGTGACTTTCTGAATCAGAGACCAAGGGTCAGTATACCATTAATGTCGATAGCACGAACCTGAAAATTAACTAATGGTCAGCTTAGCTAGTTTTAGGTATCCTATCAATTGTTCTAGTAATATGGTATTGGAACAAGTCGCCAGTTTAGCTTTCCGTTATATTCTTAAACCTCCGTATGTTTAAATATGCTCTTAAGTCTGTTGCTATTATATCAGAAAGTAACCAACCAGAAGGCATTAGTGTATGACACCAATCCGTCTTTATTTTGCTTCTCAAGCCTTAGGCCAAAAACATAAGTATTTCGAATTCTTCAGTTAGTGAATATTTAAGGCTTCATTCGAATTAAGAAATTCAAAAACGTTCAGAACACTTTGAATGCAGACATATCCAGAGCCCCTCCAATGATAAGTGTCAAAAGAAATAAAGTACATGCATTATCTAAGGATCTCCAACTCTGATTAGTGATTCGGAGTAGCTTTTCTTAACAAAGGGATTCGAACACCACTCCCAACCCTTATCCTTTATCCGGATTTAGACCGACAGAAGTCCCAGATGAGTTTAAAGACGAAAGATTTCCGTAATGTAAGATGTTCAGTGATACTGCTAGACGAAGTTATTAAAATTATGAAATGAGACTAGAGAAGATCCTACTAGTCGTAAATAAAAATTCAAGCTAATACTTAACCAGTTAACGCCTAAGAGGAATACTGATATCAACATCCCACGTCTAAGGAGACTGGGATTTTCTTGTAGCCTAGAAATTAAGAACCAGTACAAACTGAAAGTCTGTTTATACGTTAACGGACGACTAATAAGCATTATCAATCAAACTATTGAATAAACTAACGGCAGTGTTGTAAACAAACGTGGAAATACCAGACGCTCGCTTTACTTTCAGGTTATCAAACTGTCGCACAACGGCTATTGATACTAGGTTCTGGCGAAGACATCAAGCCCCAAACTGTAAAAGCTAAGACGATACTGACACGTTAGGCATAACGAACGACTGCGCACAACCTCATACCATGCAGGACTACGTTATCACACTTATATTTGACAAGGTTGAGAAAAGTTGATAGGGCAATGAGACAAATGACACCTTCTCAATCATGAAGAGCTCCTGGAAACAAACACGCTAGTCCCGTTAAAATGACATCAAGCCACGCCGCAAAACTTATTTGGAAACTGGTTTTCACTAAAGATACCGGTCAAAAGTCTGGCCGATTATCATTGAAAAGATGAGCTCACAGTCCTCGGTATCCTTAACCTCCTGCGCTTGCTTCACCATTCACGCCCCATTCTCATGATAAGACGAAATTATCAAAACAATACCCAGGTTATCAGGAGTAGTAACTGCAATGGTGACAAAAGGAACAAGCATCGCAGATAGCTTGGGAAAGTATAGACTAATAATTAAAACTTCGATTTAAAATCAAAGGAAAGATGACATAAACGCGCCCGGGCTACTGCGAAATATTTTTAGATATGTCAACCAGTCTCTAGCCACTGTTAAAAACGATTACTCGGACCTCAGCCAAGTAGTCTGGACTCACGCACATGTCACCCGGACAGTCATGAAGAGAATAGATATATATTCGGCTAATCTAGAGCATACAAACTTTTCCACGAGACTTGTTACAAACATTAATTACGAGTTGACAGAACCGAACGTACACTTCAGCATACGAGTCCGGGCAGGCAATAACGTACGACAAACATTTAAGTTAGCAATGCGACCAACGCAGTAAGATCAAGGACGGAAATATGGATACAAATCAATGCGACACTAGTCCTAATAAAATCGGAACATCGAAACTTACTAAATTCAGGTAACTGGCATAACATAACTCGATAGGCTTAATTGCATAACACCAGTAAATCTACATTGATTAGTAGTCGCAGTTACACTAGACACATACACACACGAATAATCAAGAACAAAACAAATAAAGAACTAAATTAAGTTTATTAAGGTAAATGAACTGAAATAAAATTAACCTCCACGAAGACGTAACACCAAGTGAAGAGTGGACTCTTTCTGGATATTGTAATCAGACAATGTACGACCATCTTCCAGCTGCTTCCCAGCAAAGATCAGACGCTGTTGATCGGGTGGAATTCCTTCTTTATCTTGGATCTTAGCCTTCACATTCTCAATGGTATCACTCGGTTCGACTTCCAAAGTGATCGTTTTACCAGTCAATGTCTTCACAAAAATCTGCATACCACCACGAAGACGTAACACCAAGTGAAGAGTGGACTCTTTCTGGATATTGTAATCAGACAATGTACGACCATCTTCCAGCTGCTTCCCAGCAAAGATCAGACGCTGTTGATCGGGTGGAATTCCTTCTTTATCTTGGATCTTAGCCTTCACATTCTCAATGGTGTCACTCGGTTCGACTTCCAAAGTGATCGTTTTACCAGTCAATGTCTTCACAAAAATCTGCATACCACCACGAAGACGTAACACCAAGTGAAGAGTGGACTCTTTCTGGATATTGTAATCAGACAATGTACGACCATCTTCCAGCTGCTTCCCAGCAAAGATCAGACGCTGTTGATCGGGTGGAATTCCTTCTTTATCTTGGATCTTAGCCTTCACATTCTCAATGGTGTCACTCGGTTCGACTTCCAAAGTGATCGTTTTACCAGTCAATGTCTTCACAAAAATCTGCATACCACCACGAAGACGTAACACCAAGTGAAGAGTGGACTCTTTCTGGATATTGTAATCAGACAATGTACGACCATCTTCCAGCTGCTTCCCAGCAAAGATCAGACGCTGTTGATCGGGTGGAATTCCTTCTTTATCTTGGATCTTAGCCTTCACATTCTCAATGGTGTCACTCGGTTCGACTTCCAAAGTGATCGTTTTACCAGTCAATGTCTTCACAAAAATCTGCATACCACCACGAAGACGTAACACCAAGTGAAGAGTGGACTCTTTCTGGATATTGTAATCAGACAATGTACGACCATCTTCCAGCTGCTTCCCAGCAAAGATCAGACGCTGTTGATCGGGTGGAATTCCTTCTTTATCTTGGATCTTAGCCTTCACATTCTCAATGGTGTCACTCGGTTCGACTTCCAAAGTGATCGTTTTACCAGTCAATGTCTTCACAAAAATCTGCATACCACCACGAAGACGTAACACCAAGTGAAGAGTGGACTCTTTCTGGATATTGTAATCAGACAATGTACGACCATCTTCCAGCTGCTTCCCAGCAAAGATCAGACGCTGTTGATCGGGTGGAATTCCTTCTTTATCTTGGATCTTAGCCTTCACATTCTCAATGGTGTCACTCGGTTCGACTTCCAAAGTGATCGTTTTACCAGTCAATGTCTTCACAAAAATCTGCATACCACCACGAAGACGTAACACCAAGTGAAGAGTGGACTCTTTCTGGATATTGTAATCAGACAATGTACGACCATCTTCCAGCTGCTTCCCAGCAAAGATCAGACGCTGTTGATCGGGTGGAATTCCTTCTTTATCTTGGATCTTAGCCTTCACATTCTCAATGGTATCACTCGGTTCGACTTCCAAAGTGATCGTTTTACCAGTCAATGTCTTCACAAAAATCTGCATACCACCACGAAGACGTAACACCAAGTGAAGAGTGGACTCTTTCTGGATATTGTAATCAGACAATGTACGACCATCTTCCAGCTGCTTCCCAGCAAAGATCAGACGCTGTTGATCGGGTGGAATTCCTTCTTTATCTTGGATCTTAGCCTTCACATTCTCAATGGTGTCACTCGGTTCGACTTCCAAAGTGATCGTTTTACCAGTCAATGTCTTCACAAAAATCTGCATACCACCACGAAGACGTAACACCAAGTGAAGAGTGGACTCTTTCTGGATATTGTAATCAGACAATGTACGACCATCTTCCAGCTGCTTCCCAGCAAAGATCAGACGCTGTTGATCGGGTGGAATTCCTTCTTTATCTTGGATCTTAGCCTTCACATTCTCAATGGTATCACTCGGTTCGACTTCCAAAGTGATCGTTTTACCAGTCAATGTCTTCACAAAAATCTGCATACCACCACGAAGACGTAACACCAAGTGAAGAGTGGACTCTTTCTGGATATTGTAATCAGACAATGTACGACCATCTTCCAGCTGCTTCCCAGCAAAGATCAGACGCTGTTGATCGGGTGGAATTCCTTCTTTATCTTGGATCTTAGCCTTCACATTCTCAATGGTATCACTCGGTTCGACTTCCAAAGTGATCGTTTTACCAGTCAATGTCTTCACAAAAATCTGCATACCACCACGAAGACGTAACACCAAGTGAAGAGTGGACTCTTTCTGGATATTGTAATCAGACAATGTACGACCATCTTCCAGCTGCTTCCCAGCAAAGATCAGACGCTGTTGATCGGGTGGAATTCCTTCTTTATCTTGGATCTTAGCCTTCACATTCTCAATGGTGTCACTCGGTTCGACTTCCAAAGTGATCGTTTTACCAGTCAATGTCTTCACGAAAATCTGCATCTCAAACTCTAGTGTAAACTGAGGAACAAATATGGAACACTTTCGATCTTGCTGGCTATATATACCTTACTTTCGGTTAGTGCGACGCTACTTCTAATTTAGATCAGTAAAACAATATGCAGACCAAAGTGATTCCCGAAAATTGTTCTATACGAATCATACCCTGTTCATTTTGCGGTGAAAAGTTATTGTTAGTCAGCAGCTTGTTACTCATGTATCACATTTCTCGAGTTAATTGATGACGATATTCCAGGTATAAATGTAAAATAAGATTTACCTTGTCATCCATATGGATCTTATTTCACATGAGGCCATTACATTTTTAGAGCAGTTAATTATTGGGGATATACTTCGTAACATCTGCAAATCCTTTTTATGAATGTTTCTGTACATATAAATCAACTGGGAATCAGTCGTTTTACTCTCCGTATTCTAAAGCTTTGTAGAGTGTCTTACTTATCACTCAAATTAGTCGAAAGCTGACCATCATTCATTATAAGTGTTAAGACAAACTCCAGTGCTGAAATTCAGCGTGAAAATTCGGTTATGGATGGCATAATCTCTTATCGAATACTTTAAGATTTCATATAATAGTGTTGCGGTAAATAAATCCCCAAAATAAGTTTTTGACATTGGATGCTGACCATATGCTTTAGTGGACTCATCTAGCTGAAGGCGCTCGGTCAGGTATCCGTACCAGATCACGTGTGGTAACGCCGTGCTCAACATCAACCGCAATCGCTAGCCAGATTAGATCAGAGAATTCCGATATTTTGGTTATCGCCAAATACACTCTTCCGATCTCCTCGACTCTGTCTTTTGATTTCTCTTGGTGGGTACAAATCATATTAGAAAGTGTTACTGGCAGAAGCGTTGTCAAACACTGAATACTTGTGACATCTTCATTGGTGAGACCGACGTGATCTGGTACACCGAACTGCAACTGCGAGTCTGTTCCTTTTGGGGATTTTTATATATTACTGCCTTATTTCTTATTTTTTATACATTATGATATTTTTTCATGTTTTTTTGGATATATATTTTTTCCCTTCGTTCATTAGCGTACTTCATATTTCATCATGACCGTACAGACTCCTAAAGTATTTAAGATTAAGACCATGTTCACACCTTCGTTTCAACTCATGCCTTTCTAGCCCGACAACATCGAAGACTGGTTTTGCTACGCAGAAGCCAACTTCGACACACGTGCACAATTCCTTGCAGTAGTCAAGGCACTACCGCAAAAATTCAACAGGTATGTAACACCTAGTATGTTTACTAGTGCCGTTTCTGACCCTTACGAAACCTTAAAACGTTCGATTCTTAAACGAGGAGACCTAACCGATCGACAAACGTTAGATCAACTCTTTAATAACATAGACCTGCAGCACGGTTCTGCGACGGACATGTTGCAAAGGATGAGAGAGGTTGTAGGCCCAAGAACTTTCGACGAAGGTTTATTCAAACAACTTTTCTTGTCTAAACTTCTCCAACAGGTGCAAGCGGTTCTGGTCTCGTTTCAAAACAACGCCTTAGACGAATTGGCTGCATCTGCCGATCATATTTTAGAAATTACGAAATCTACTACCGAGGTATTTTCAGTCAGAGAAAAGCCTCACACGACTCCGAATGACATAACCGAGTTATGTCATACACTCACGCGCTATCTTAATCTTCGTACCGACCGTAAGCGCTCACACACCCCACGTAGAAGCATTTCACGCAAGCGATCTGTCAGGCTCAGGAATGAGAAACAGGTTGTGCGTGGTTTGTAACTGTAACCCGCACGAAGGAATATTTCTGGAAGACATTTACCAAATAAATCATTTAAATCCTTTCTTGGGAGTTCCGTAATCTTACAACTGCTTGTGGTGAAATCTGAAATTCTTCAGGAGTCGCAAAACCGATGGCCGTCATAAAGACCAGAGTGACAACTAATATCGAAACGTGAAGTGTCCAGACAGTGTTGAGACCGTTCAGATCGTGGTTGACTGAGAAGAAATAATCCGGCGACGATTGAGATAAGTGAAATCAAATTGAACCAAACTGGACAAGAAAGATTACAGTTGGGAGACATGTAGTAGCTTTTTGTCATAGCGAGCTGCACCAAAAATGCATAGAGAAGGTTTTATGGCATTACGGTGTCGGAGGTTCATGGTTCTTGGTCCAAAGAAACACTCGCTCAAAAAATGTCAGAAAGAACTACAATATATCGCCGTGTTTCACACACAAATTATGGCAGCAAAGATTATATAACCCAGTTTTATTAAATACTGTATGTTCTCTTTATCGTGGAGAAATATACAGGATAAAAAGATTACTCGGATGAGAAGCTTGAATTCCAAAGTAGAGATGGGCATCACACATGAAAGCACCATGGGGCGATATGAACTGGTAAATAAGACTGAGAAATGCGGAAAATAATTGTAATACCATTTATCTTTTCAAACGCTTATTGTTGTGCCTGGTTATCGGGGTTCAGTGTGGCTTAAGATGTTGCGGATTTAGAAACGTAAGGGCTTCTTTAATAAGATTGATTCTCTTCGTAAATGACAACAGTCAATTATACTCAGTACATCAAACCCCGATGGCTAAGACAGGAAGAAAACGTGAATTACAGGTAACCTAGTATTTGTGGTAGAACAAGCAACTCAGACGAAATTGGTGCAAAATTTGTTACTGAAGTCGCAGATCCTGACTTTTGAGCATGTAGAAATCTAGCGAAGTACAAAAACATGACAACCGATCAGAGGATTAAGGTCATGTGGAAATCTAATTCGTAGAAATATGAAAGCGGTTGTCGTTCTAGAAGGGATTTTAGCGCTCTTAATAAAACAAAATTCCTGTGGATTTTTGTGATACTGATCTTGTTCTGCTTTGTGTCATTCTTGATTCTTCCCTTGGAAGATCTACACGTCCGCGTCCAGGTCTGAAACCAGCCTGCTTTATCCGAGTTTACTGTTTAGGAGCACTAAACTAGGGTTAAAGAATAATCGAGGACAATATTTTATATATATTATTCAAATGGATTCCTCTGTGACTGTCACAAGACGGATTTTTCTCATTTCTTACAAACAGGAACGATTAGCGGTCGAGACCAGTTAGGTGGGATTACATTCAGTTATCAGACTGGGCGATATAAAATGGGAATTAGGAAGGAGAAAATTAGAAAATGAATAGATTGATGCACCTTCAACAACATGGTTATAAGTAACATCACTTTCCTCTTCAAACGCTTACACAGAGTAACATGGGTTTTACGAGACCACACTATACAGAACAGGATTGATCACGTTTGCATCGATAAAATGATTCAGAAGTTCATTGGGGAACGTATAAAGAGAGGAGTCGATATAATTTCAGATCAATACCTGCTGGTAGCCAAGTTGAAACTGAAAACAAATAAGCACTGGACACCTGAGTAAGCAGCACTACGGTCTTTCTCCAAGAAGTCAACTCATCGAATCCAAGATAATTTTTAGTAACAAGTTCCGGACCTCACAACATCTACCACTTGTCGTGCAAATTACCTATTGCGAAACCGTGCTGTTCCTTTTGAGTAACCGTTTTTAAGATTTTAACAACCACACTAATTAGGCTAAGGGGTCGGTAATTTTCAGGTTTATGTTCCGTACCTGTTTTGAAGGTAGGACATACTGAGGCGTTCTTTCAGTCTTTTGGTAAACGACCCTGCGTTACGGATAGGTTAAAGCATATACTTAAAGGGTTCGCGACGAAGTTAAATAACTCCTTCAGTAGCCTAGGATACAATTCATCGGGTCCCGTGGATTTACCGAAGTCAAGCCTATTTATTAGACCAAAGACGTCGAGTTCTTTAATGGTCACGCTATCCAGTATATGTGTGGGGGGATTTGTATGAGCTGACAAGAAGGGTGCTTCTACGGTATATACATTGCCAAAGTATTTCGAGAACACTTGAGCCTTACCAAAGTCTTCTTCCACTAATGATGCGGCAGTACATTAATATTAATAGCTTTAATATGCCAACATGTACTGAGACTCAATAAACGACGATGTGAAGAATGGATCTCAGCAGACAGTCCGAGCGAGTTTTCAAAAAGGAGGACCAACAACAGCTAATCAGGAGTATAAGCCAGGCGACAAGCTGAACATACGCTAGCAAGCAAGCAAGTGAAAAAGCAGAAATATCCAAAAGGACTGGCAACTACATCAGAAGAAGCTGCGATATGAGAACATATTAGAGAACTATGTGGCACAGCCGAGGAGCCATCAGGAACATACTGTAGACTAAAGTGATCAGTTAGGAATAGAGAAGAAATACTAATCAATGAGTTTCAAGAGTTGTGGAAAACATGTGAAGAACGCTTTACAGAGCTGGTGAATAGGCCAGTGTCACTAAACTCACTGGCCGTCGCAGAAACTCACACAAACCTCCCTGTAAGTGTTACCACAGCAACAATAGAAGAAATAAGCACGACTATCAGACCAATCTTTTGATTTGTTCACCGGACAAATGAAAAATGCCAAAGAGGAATGACTAGATAGCATACCGAATGAAGCACTGAAACGATGCGGATAAGTAACTGTGAAGATTGTGCAATTTTCTTCAGAAGTATTTGGTGGAAAGAACAATTAACAGCAGACTGAAAAAGTGGATATCTTACCAGGATACCGAGAGAAATAAACCTTGGTGAGAGTAATAACTATAGATATATCCCATTTCTGTCAATATCATACTAGACTGAATAACAGATTCAGTAGGCACTCATCATCGAAATCAGGCAGTTGGATTCCGTAAGGACCGATCATACACCCACCAAATCATGGTATTATGGATAACTACTGGACAAGTAATTGAAAAGAGCCCGTATATATATTGGTTTCCATAATAATGAAAACGAATTCGACAGCGTGGATAGGAGAGCGTTATAAAATCTTCTTCGACATTGCGGAGCACCTTAATAGACCATTATCACCGCTTAGCCCTCTGATCCCACACACGACAACATATGTAGACA